TATTAGTAACGAGTTTTATATAGCACGCACACTCATTATTTATTACTAAAAATACCATAAGTTATATTAAACGTATAATTTTCCTTAATTTTAAGTACTTATTTTGAGCATTGAATACTTTTTTAAATTGTTTGTAACCGACTCAGTAAAATAATGTCTTTCAGACCGAATTCCGGTCATGGCGGTCAGGTTCTAACTGTCCTATTGTACATTGAGATATTTTACGTACGTAAGTAGCTTTCGATGATGAGTATAAAAATAATTCAAAATAATTCAGATTTTGGCCTAAATATGCAGAGAAGAAAGAATTCGGTGTTAAATAGACAATCCCGACAAATGGTCTATTCAGTGTTTAGTTACATGGAAAAATTAGGTACTGCGAAAAACATCATAGACGTATATAAACAGACTGCTGAAGCGACTAATGTCTCAGTAGCTACTGTGCAGCGCACCGCAACACCAGATTTCATGGAAGGCATATCACCTCGTCCTTCTTCTTAATAAACTAATCAATTCTAACCACCAGGTATACATTAAATACTTTATAGTAGATAATAAAATAACGGGCACGAATATCTGCAACATTAATGTATCAAAGTAAAAGTTGATGTGTTCGAGTAAACATTTTCATAAAAGTCGGCGAAAATATTCAATTACGAATTGAAATAATAAAAGTACCCAATAATTTTCCCCGACAGTGTACCTACCTCCCACCACAGTTTATCTGTGTTCACGACTCGTGTCGGCAACTATAATATTATTGTGTGGAACCCAGTACTCTGTAAACGTATGAGAAAATAAATATAATTCTATTCTATTCTATTCTAATACTACTCGTCGGTTGACCACTTGGTCGAAGGTGGACTTGCCTAGTTAGTTAATTTCTGTCGCTCATGAAAATACACTAAAAACCATTAAAACTCTCTGTATGATCTAAATTGTTTATGTGATACATATTAAATTTATTAGAATGTTCATTTCATTAACTTTAAGGATAATTAAACTACTAAATATATACCTTTTCGCTTTCGATGAAGATAGCAACGATATTTGTTATATCAAATATAAGAGTATATATCATTTTTCCTTACATATTTGTACCAGACATATTCGTCACTAACTATAGTAGATATAGTAGTTTCCTAACGACCCCCGTATATCTACATGTGACATGAACACATCTTTTTTTAATGTCTTAACATATCTAACTGTAGGTAGACAGTAGGTATGTAGGTTAAACTGACTGAGCATGGTGCTAGAATTCAAATCAGCGTATTTTAAAGACTAGAAGTAATTAAATCTGATTCTCTTTCTCTCTTCTTCTCTTCTCTTCTCTTTCTGCAGGGCATTTTTAATGACTAGTGATGCAGTTTAGAAGCTAAGCTATCGTTAAAAACAAGATACTTTGTTTTTTTTTCCACTTTTGCTTAAGTTCCACGCTTTACGTGTAAAGTGATACGTGTCACTTCCCTTATGCAAATTGTAAGAAATAGACAAAAAACTTTAAACACAGTTCGATAAAATTTTCACGTCCATTGAACCAGTGTGTTAGCGCACAATACCTAGCTAACGACTCAATTTTTTTGACGTGATAGTGCTATGCTGCTGTTATAATATATTGTAACATGAATGGGTGGGCTCGACCGGGGAAGGGTCACGCTCTCACAGCATACCAGCCTAAAATAGCATCTCAATGTTGCTATGTTTCGCATTGTGAGTGTAGTGAATTGGAGATCCTTTTTACTGGAAACGAGGTATTCCATGTTAGTCCTCAAGGGTGAAAACGCTTCTGCAATTTGATTCGATTTCGTGGATAGACGTAGAAGTCTTGGGCCACAGCGTCCACTTACCATCGTTTGGACTCATTGGACTGCGTGCTCGTTTGTCAATTTATTCAAAAAAAATCATTTATTCATTTATGAGGCTCCCCATAGATAGCCACATAGAGTGGAGGCCATTTACCTTTTTTGGGGGTTGGCAGCTCTTTCAGTTACGCTCTGCCGCCTCTTACGTCACCCACGGGATAATTAAAATTATTGTGATTATTTTTGTTATGTTTAACAATTAAATAACAATAACATTAACAATACAATAACAAAACGAAATTAGAGCTGTCATCAAGTACCTCTGTTTGAAAAAAATGTCTTCAAAAGACATACACAGTGACTTAGTGGAAACATTGGGTGACTCTGCTCCTCCATATTCTACAGTTGCACGCTAGGCCAAGGAGTTTAAACTGGGCAGAACATCCACTGAAGATGAAAGGAGGACGCCCATCCACGTCCCTCACTGAAGACAACGTGAAAAAAGTCGAAGATGTTGCGTTGGCAGATCGAAGACTGATCATCAGGCATGTAGCTGAGGTCACAGGGATCTCATATGGCAGCGTTCAAAGAATCCTTGCGAACGAGTTGCATATGAAAAAGGTTTCTGCGCGTTGGGTACCCAGAATGTTACCCGACGAGCAAAAGAAAAAATCGAGTTGACATTTCGAGGGTCAATCTCGAAAAGTTCCAAGCAGATCAAGAAAACATTGTAGGCAATCTTCTTTGGCGTATTGCGCGCCACCAGGTAGGTACTACCAGAGGGTCAGCAGTCTCGAAGCCCCGCGGACTCCCGAGGACAAGGTGTGGACGCAGGGCCAATCCTACCGACAGGTGTGCGCTCCTGATAGCAGCACTACGGGCCTCCAGTGCTCCTTTCTGGCTCTAGGTGATGGCCTGGTATCCCTAGGCAGAAGTTGGCGTACCTCGCGCCTCTGGGAAGGGATCTGCCGAAGGGTCAGCAAACTCCAGGTCCCGCGGAGCCGCATCTCGACGTGGAGCCGAAGTCACCAACAGGCGCGCGCTCCCAGCAGCGCGCCGGGCCTTCGGAGTTCGCTTTCCAGCATGTAGATTATGCGCAGTGTTAGGTATGTAACATCCCGGGCGGGGTCAGGGGCGTCCTCGAGGCTCTACGCAAGCCGAGTTGGCCCCACAGCACGTGCACCCACTGCGAAGCGACGCGCTGTACTTCTCCCACCCGGGCGGGAGTCGACGACCGACGGACGTGACCGCCTGCCGGCGCGGTCCGGACGAGACTCCTCTATTCTCTCACTCTCATAATCCGATGGGACGGTAAACCGACACTACCGGAGAGAGATCAGGCGCAGGACCAAACGGCTTTACGTGCTTTCCGAGGCACGGGAGTGAGACACCGCCAACTTCCTGACTCCGGGCAGCTACTGAAAATTTCTTGACAGAAAAACTCAATAATTGATTTTTTGGCCCGACCCCGGACCTCATGATCAGCAGTCGCACTACTACAACCACTAGACCAACGAGGCAGTCCACAATTACACAGACAATAATAAAAATACAACAATAGAAAGACAGTAATTCACTACATATGTATACTCGTACCTATGTTTTATTAAATGTGTGTAACACTTGTAATTAAGTCAACACTTAGAATTTATGATTTATTGTAAAAATATTATGCTTTTGTTAGTTTATGCCTTTTTGGAGTCAATAAATTAAATAAATATTAAGGGATACTCGACTGACTTAAACCACCACTACACGCCATAACTACATTATGGTTTTAGTACGAATGAGTTGGTAAAATAGTAGCTTAATGCTGCTACGTTTCGTATGGTGAGTGTAGAGAACCGGAGACTCTTTTTACTGGAAACGAGGCATTCCATCTTAGTCCTCACGGGTGACAACGCATCTGCATTTTGATTTGTAATCGAGGATAGATGTAGTAGATGTCTATGGGCCGCAGCAACTACTTACCATCAGGTGGACTGTGTGCTCGTTTGTCACCTTTATCCTATAAAAAACCGCAATTAGGCTGCAGATGTAGGTCAGAGGCGGTACATACCAGGCAGACTCCTGTGCAGAAAGAGTCCTACCACCTAGATAATATCACATAAATAACACGTTCATTAAAAATAAAAATTGTACACTTACCATCAGGTGCCCGTGTGCCGTGTGCCCGCTATCACAGAGTTAATTTTTTTTTTTAACAAATACAGACCATAATAAGGTATAAAGTAAGGTAGTAAGAATTAATTGTACAATACATTTCATCGTAGAATACAACTTTAAAAAAAAAACTGCTGTGTTTTTATTGATTATTCCTAGGACACAAGTTATTTTCGAGCAAGTGGTATAAATTAAAATAACTTACTTTATTATGGGTAGTAAAATGTTGAAAATAAATTGTTCTATTGTAGTCTAAAAGGTAAAAAAGTCATTGTGAAGTTCACAATAAGCTCCTTTCGCGCCTATTGATAACAAGTTTAATTTTGATTTCTAGTTTCGGCATATTGTAGGTAATATTAGCTGATCCCCGCTGGCTTCGCTGGGCGCACGAAAATATTTTATTGCGGAACCTAGATAGAAAATACCCAGATTTTTTTTTTCATGGGACTATAGTAAAAACGGTTCTTAGTGAACGTCTATATTGCGAAATGAGTAACTATATTAAATTTCAAGTTAATAGGGTTTCAGTCAGTCAGTGGTATTCCCTGAATTAATTTTGTATTACTACATGTTCGACATTATAGAAAACTATGGCTAGGAAATTTGGTGCGGATGTAGATTCCACTTATAAGAAATTGAAGACACGTGTTGCAAAGAGTATGTATGTATATAGCAGTTTTAGTTAGGCTATTAAGTTCTTTTTAATTTAATGGAATATAATTTAAGATATATTTTAATATTAATAAAATTTAATTAATATTAATGCAATAAGTCATTTTAAATTTGAATATCATCGTCATAATCGATTTTATAATCTCTCATAATTAAAAAAGTAACTTCCCATACTAGAGTAAGCAAAAATTTCAAAAAACAAAAATAAGACACAACAATCATAAAATCAACAGGCTCTCTTTAAGGTAACGCTCAGCTCTAGTTAAGATTCTTGTAAAAAACATATCTGTTTAGGATTATGATCACATGATATAAATACTACATTTCATTTTAGAAGAACATACAGAAACGGCAAACAAAATGTCTGACGGCTCCGATATCGAGATGCAGTCAACACTGCCTAAGATTCAAACGAAAAAAATTCCGAAGAGCCCATCCGAAGAATTATTAAAAGGAAATCAAGAACCGAAGAGAGTAAGCACAAAAGTTATGATTCATCAAGCTTTAACTGATTTAAAGAGTAGAAAGGGGACTTCCCTTTACGCCATCAAGAAGTATATAGACGAGAAATATAATGTAGACATCAAAAAAATCAACAACATTATCAAGAAACTTATTAAAGCTGAAGTCGAAGCGGGAGTCATTATACAAACGAAAGGTGTCGGCGCCTCCGGATCTTTCAAATTAGTGGTTGGAAAAGATAAAGTTGAGAAAAAGAAAGAGAAGATTAAAAAACTCGTACAGAAAGTCAAAGAGCCCGATGATAAGCCTAAAAAGTCTATCAAATCAAATATAGAGGCGAAAGCAAAAGAAAGCCTTGAAAAAAAATCAAAAAAGAGCCTTGAAAAAAAATCAAAAAAGAAAGAAAACGTGGATAACAAAGTGGAAATTTATAAAAAAACGGTTAAAGCAAAAGGAAGCAAAGAAGGTAAAGAAAGCAAAGAAGGTAAAATGAAAAAACGAAATGCTAAGAAGATGGCGAAAGGAATACAAACTCCCGCCAAAAAGAGGGCCGCCATGATGAAAAGAAAAAGCATCGGTTCGATCATAAAGCCGCCAAAGATGAGGCCTAAAGCAAAAGCTTGAACGGATATTTTTATAATTATTAATTATTTTTTAAATGTAATTACTTAAATATTATCCTATTATTATGATTATTAATTAAAAATTATACATGTAAATATTTGTAAAAAATTGTAAAATAAATAAATATAACATAGGTTTTCTAAAAGAAAACACTAAAAGAAAAATTGCAAGTCATGAAATAAAATTAATGTCATTTTTGGCACGAAAATAATATACTTTGGAGGATTTTTCGATTCTGTTCACGGTGACCAGCAATACGATTACATTTAAGGCGTGTTATTTTTTTTTTCATTACTGCCTATCAAAAGTCCACAGCTGAACAAAGACCTCTTCCATAGATTCTCCCATAGAGAGGATATTCGGGAAGTTGCTGCCATGGTTGGTGGGCGTGTTGGCAACCACAGTTATTAATTATATGGAGTAGTTATGAAGATGCTGCTGCCCATCTCCTGTTTCACTTCCCTCCGTCGCCTCTTACGGCACCCACGGAATGATATGGAGTCCTGGTTCTCTTACGCCACCACTACACGAAATTAATTATTTCTAAGGTTTTTTTTACTTTTTTTGAAGTAAAATATTTCGAAGAAATAAAAATAAGAAATAAAATAACGGTTATATCAGATTGACAATCTCGAAGACTCGTAGGTGCAGGGTTTCTTGCTTAGCTCTTCGAACATGTCTTCCATCGCTGTGAGGACTGGGGTTCGAGCTGGCCTCTATCACTCTAATGTTCATCTGTTTTAATTATGAATTATTAAAAGCCCATAAATGCTTATATGTGCACATATAGTATATCAATTAGTGCTATAGGAAGTCAATTATTTGCTTTAGTGCTTTGCTCCGGTGATAAAAATAATTTCAGTCTCAAGCACCATAGCAATGTCCGCCCTGAATAAGCATGATTCACCGCCATAAGCACACCTTCATTTATGAAACATTGTGCATAATGTTCTTCAGGCCTTCCGTAGATTCTTGAATGACTGTGATTATGTAGACAAATTCCATATTCAGAGAACAAGACTGGGCCTCATTGTTTTGTCGTCCAACATCGATGTCGCATGCAAATCGAAGTAGTGCCACGGAGCGGTCATTTTATTTTTACTTTGATTTTGTCTTGCTTCGAGTAAAACAACCACCTGTGCAGCTTGCGCAAGTGTAATATCAATATTATTTTTCTGATTGGGCGAGTAGTTATAATATTCTTTCCAATTGAAGTGCGAGGGCGAGGGCTAATTAGTCAATATTAAGCTTATTGTACCCGCAGGTAGTTGCAGATCTTGTGCTACTTGAAAGGAGTGATTTCGGGTGACTTTGGTTTTACTTTATAAAGGTGATCTTTGGACAAGTGTCTGGGCAACTCAATTAGTTACAATCGAACGATGATGAAGTATTATTTAAGATGAAATATAATAATATCGGTTTTTTTCGTTTATTTTAAAAATGCAGAATTATTTTTAAAAATATGGTGTCCACGATTTTTATCCTCATCGTATATAAAGTGTATTTATGATTTTTTAAGATGCCCACTCGTAATACCGTATTTGTATCTAATAACATTAGTTTTTTAACCATACCTTACTAATATTATCATAATATTGCATTGCCATCTGATTTAATGCGTGCAAAATCTCAATCGGAAACCGGCAAGTGGGTCAAATATAACTTGCTAGATTACAGACAGACAGCGGGACAGGTGACGTAAAATAAAATCTTGTCTAATAAAATATGAAATATGAGTGTGGAGGGCAACCTCCGGAGCTGCTGCAGCAATTTGAAAAATAAGGTGAAAGAATTTTTCAAATAGATATATGGCATGTTGGTCTTTAGATCATGTAAAGTGGAAGAATCAATTTATTTTAAAATCTCAGAAAAACGTTTTGTATATTTTCAGTCAGTTTAGTTTTATATTAGTACTGGCTAGTTATGTTCTAAGTATACTATTTTATATTCTTAATTCTTCTCTAGTGTTGTAGTGACGTGTAGCCCCCCACAAAAATAGATAAACATATGGATATATTAGTGTTAAGTTTATATTAAAAGTCCAATTAAAGTCTTAAATAGAACAACACGGCTTCTTCTCATTGAACACCGCACCGTCCAATATTACATGTGGCGACCATGCGCACCACCGCGAGGCCTGCAGAAATTGGAAAAAAAAGTAGAAAAAAAAATAAGGTAAGGCCTTGGAAGGTCATGCTCCTTCGAAGGCCAATTATTAAAATGTCGTAGTTATTGCCATGTGATGACAATTTCCTTCTACTTACACAAACATCCACCGAACTGAAAATCACAGACGCGGCGGCGAATCGCTCGCGCTACTATTTTGGCGGTACGGTCCCTCGCTTTATTGATTTCGGGAATCGACGACGTTAAAATAAGGTGGGTGTACCATAGAAGGCCACTCTAACAAATAAACAGTTATTATTGGTTTATTTACTGGATAAATGAAACTAACAAATAATTAAGTAATGCTTTTTTTATTATGTAACATATAAGCCACTTCTTTTTATTGTAGATTTAATCGCTATTTATTAAACTTTAGTGTTAAATGACTGCTTTATTATAATGGCCCTCTTTCTTAGAGGCCCTTGTTCCTAGCAAGGCCATTTGGAAGAGTTCAATGAAACTTAAGTTCAATCAATTTGATTAAATCTGCAATTTAAAAAGTGGTTTATATGTTACGTAATAAAACAAAGTATAACTTACATAATTGTTAGTTTCATTTATCTAGTAAATATAAACATTGATTTTTGAACATATTTTTATAAAAGCAATGAGGATGTGAAGACTTGAAACATAAGTTAGAGAGAAAATTAATTATATATTTTAAGAAAAATAAAAAACTTTAGTTTGCAAGACTTAAGAGAAGATTAAGCCGAAAAGAAGAAAGAGGAAAATTAGAGGTAAAATTGAATCAGCGTATTTTAGTCGTTTGTCAAAAGTTTTAACTAATGTAAAAAAGTTATATTATTTTATATACTTACTTATGATTAAGTACAAATCGTTTATACATTTTACGACTATTTTTTAACTTGATTTTTTATAACTGTATGAAAAAATATATAATGAAATATTAGAATAGAATAGAATAGAATAGAATAAGTCATTTATTGTGCTAGTTGTAGGTTTAAGAGATTTAACACTATAAAAATAATTAAGTATCACCACAACCTGCCTAGATAAGGCTTACAATATTATTAAAATTATGGAACTTAAAACATCATCTCATTATTCATTAAATCAAATCAAATAACACGGATAATAAAGCATAATGTCATACAATGAATTATTTTGACAAAAATGGATTATAAATTATTGTAAATTCAATTACGTTAATGGCACATTTTATTGGACATAAGACACTTATTTATTCACTTATGTTATTGTTTTATATTTTTATTACTGTGTCTTGCAATTTTTTTCTTTTCTAAAGGCATCAGACTAATCTAAATAAGATAAATGTTACAAAAACAACCATTACATAGTCAATGGCATGCCTTTTCTCAGGAATTACACGTATCTAGAAATATGATACGCAATAATATGCGATGAGCTTATCTTAACAGTAGAGAGCAACATGCGATGCACGAACAGGGGCATAAAAATAAACCATAACAGCTTTCTAATAAAGACGAAAGTAATGAATAACAGTTAAGTAAGAAATATAATTAATTAAGAGAAGTTTTAATCGCAATGTTCCTTAACAGAGTCAAATACGGACAAACAAAGATGACTGCCAAAACTGTTATCCCATTTTGTACAAAATGATAAAGTATGTATTTAAAAGGTGTGAGGAATATAAGAAAGGAATGTTCAAAAGTGTGAGTACGAATGATTAAGTTGCTACTTCCTCAATATTGGACTGATCATCCAAATATTTGAAGATGCTTAAATTCCTGTGTATAGTTGTTTCCTAGTATTTTTAAGGAAGTGGAACATGAAAGTTTGTAAATAACTTAAAGTCCTCGAGCATGGTATTAGTAGGTATTAGTACTGGGTGATGGAAATACAGCTCCCGTAGTAGCTACTACACCTTCGCTACGTGGGTTCAAAGTGCCACCGTTCGACGGGACTTCTTCCTGGTCAGCCTACAAAATCCAGTTCGAGGCTGTTATGAAGGCGAACGGCTGGAATAAAAGTCAGGCCATGACTGCTCGCACACTAGGCCTGCGCGACCAGGCCTTAACTGTTCTGGAAGCTCTCGGTGAGGAAGTGACTTATGAGCAACTCCTTGAGGCGAGATATGGCGACGCTCACCTGGAACACGTCTTTCGTGCGCAGCTTAAAGATCGCGTGCAGCGCATCAACGAAAACCTGCAGCAGTGGGCTCTAGAGGTGGAGAAGCTGGTGCGAAAAGCATACCGGTCTGTACCTGCGCTCATTGAAGGGAACCTGGTGCAGACATTCATCGACGGCATCCGCGACCTGGAAGTCAGAGCTGCTGTGAGGCTCGGGCATCACGAGACGCGTAAGGACGCCTTGGCCCATGCACTGGAGGTGGAAGCCGTGCGGCAGGATCATCGTTCCCATCGCGTCAGGGAGGTTGCAGCAGCTACAGTTCGCGACCGCAACAAAGGATACAGCCCTAGGTGCTATGGCTGTGGGGAAAAGGGCCACCTTCGATCCAGCTGCCCTAAGCGAACCCTAGAAAGGGAAGATGAACGATCTCAGGAGGGTAGTGCGGCCAACAGCACCGTCCAGCAGCAGCAGGGAAAACGAGTAAAAGCCAGAACTGCGGGGCGGGTGCTGGCTGATGTTAAAAGAGCCCCAAGGATCTCGATCACACAAACCCACGATGGGAACAGTCTAATCATCAAGGGCGAGGTCAACGGAATGCCGTGTAAACTGACCATAGATACTGGAGCCTCTCGTACGGTTGTTAGTTCCCAACTAATAAGTCAGTTCCTTGGGGACTCCGCATACAACCGAGAACGCATTAATTTGGTAACAGCCACCGGTCAGCGTATACCCGTCCGTGGAGAGAAAGAGATGGAGTTGAA